GTTAATGAGGTGGTATCTCTATAGAAGTAGATTGCCCAGCCTTCCTTCTGAGGAGTGGCTGGTGGGTAGTTGAGTAGAAACCACCAAAATCAGAGTTAATTAGCACCCCTATCAAAGAAAGGCCATCTTAATCTCTGGAGCTATCCTTTGTCCAAAAAAGTGGTGTGTTTTTCAAAGGGAGTACTAATTAACTGTTTTTAATATGTCATGTACAGTTCTCATATCTTTTTTTTTTCTTTGAATGTGGTTTGTTCTTTCAATCTGAAACCCTATGCTGATTGTTTTGTTTATTTGTTTTGTCTTTAAGAACAACAACAAAAAAAGAATATTTTCAAGAACTGCCTGGTAGCTACATTTCTACTACTTCCTTTCCTCTCTCACACTGTTGCCCAAATTTTCTTTTCAGGGGAACTTAGTAGAATCCTATTACTCTGAGCCTTTACCAAAAGATAAAGCAGCAACTCTTCAAAATCTCAGTGGTTGGTCTAATCAAGTACCTATAACTTTTCCCTTGGATTCAGTTGACCTTTTTTGTTTTTGTTTTTGTTTTCTGAAACTTGAGAACTTAATTTGTTTAGTCATTTAATGTATAAAAATAACCCAACTGTTTAAATAACTCACAAGGAATTTATATCATACATCAAATGACAAGTAAATTATTCAGGTACTTTGAGTCATCTTGCAATTTACCTTGCTGAAATTCTATGTTAAAACTCATTAAAACCTTTAATGAATTTCTTTGTTAGAATTCATTAAAAGTCACTAAAGCCTTCCATAGTTGGTAACTATTTAAGGGAAACAGAGAATGGAGTATTGCTAACATGTTCATCAGTGGTCTTACACATCATGATTATGCTTAGTATGAAAAAAATAATTGAGAACAAGCACTTTGTATTGATGAGAATCTTTAGTTGCAAGCAACAGAAACAGCCTCTGGATAATTTTACACAAGAAACTGGGAAGTGAGGGACAATCAGAGCAGCTGGGCCTGAGTAAGGCAGATTTCAGGAAAGCCCCAGGAATCTCATTTGCAGGAGTGCCACTGCAGAAAGAACCATCTCTCATTTTTGGCTGCAGTGCTCAGGTTTGCTTGCCATACTTTCTACTGTGTATCTTTTGGCAGTTTGGGGCTCTTTGTGCATCTTGGGTCAGTTTGTTTCTTGGTACACTGCAAGCCTAATTGCCCTCTTTGTTCATAGTGACCCCTCCTTGGGTTTCTGAGGCGATATCACTGCAGAAGTAGATTGCTCTACCTTCCTTCCTAGGAGTGGCTGGTGGGTTTGGATTTGAACCTCCAGCCTTCTGGTTAGCAGTCAAATGCCTTAGACACTATGCCACCAGAGCGCTCCGATTTCATATAGGTCTTAAAAAAAGACCCAAACTAAACCTGTTGCTGTTGAGTTGATTCTGACTCATAGTGATCCTATAGGGTAAAGTAGAATTGCCCAATAGGGTTTTCAGGGCTGTGAATCTTTATGGAAGCAAATTCCATCTTTCTCCTACAGGGCTGCTGGTGGATTAGAACCCCTCTTTCAGTTAGTAGCCAAGCACTGGACTCCTATATAGGTCCTAGAGCTATTAATGTTTTTCTTCCTACTTATAATTAGGGATTTGTTATAGGTGTGTCCCCAGGATGGGAAATGGTGTTTATGTTTTGCTTTAATCCTTCTTCTGCCTTTTTATGGGGAGGGTCAAGGATATTAAAAAAATGACACCACTGCTATCATTTTCTCAGAATTCTTCTTCTTCTTTTAAGTAACTAGTGGATCTTGAGTTATGTTCTCTGTCATTCCTAATATTATTTACTTGTGTACTTGAATTTTTAAAACAATCTTTTAAGAAGTTTGCTAGTTTTTTTTTGTTTTATTTTGCTTTTTGACCTTCAATTTTGTTTATCCTCTCTGCTATCTGTGTTTTCTATTTCATTAGTTTGGCCTTATTGTTATAATTTCCTACCTTATACTTACTTTGTTTTTTTATTATTTTCAAGTTTAATTCGTGATTTGCATATTTAGCTCATTTTTGTTGTGTCTTCTTTTAACATAAGTTTTATTTCATAAATTTTGATCATTTTAGCTTTATCTCATTAGTATTGATATATTTTTTTCATTATTCAGCCTTAATATATTTTCTAATTTCTATTACAGTTCTTTTTTGATCTTTGAATTGCATAGAAATACGTTTTGAAATTCTCATACATTTGAGATTTTATCTGGTTTGTTTTTGTTACTGAGTTATAATTTAATTCCTTTCTGGTTGAATAAAACATCTTGCTTCTTTAGGATTTTTAAGACTTGCTTTGTGGCCTAGTATTGGGCATTTGCAAATGCCCAATGGGTACTTGAAAGGAATGTGGGGATACACATTCACATAACAGGTACAGGGGCATTGTATTGCATGAGATCAAGCAAATTATAGTACTGTTTTTTCTTTTATTTATTTGATCTATCAGTTTCTGAGAGGCAATTTATAATATATTTCCATACTAATAGCTAACACTTACATGGTAATTATATTCTAGGCATTATTTTAAGGGTTTACATGTATTAACTTATTGTATATTTATCATTTTTCCTTATAGATCTGTCACTTTTGCTTTATGTATTTTGAGACCATGTTTTTAGTTGCATAATACCTGGTCATTGGAATCTTTTATCATTATATGTTGACCTTCTTTATCTCTAATACTAATTTTAACCCTAAAATTCCTTTTTATTATTTTTTTTCTGATACTGATATAGTTACACATGCTTTTGTTTGTTTGCTAGTTAATATTTACATAGATGTATATTTCATACCCCCTTTATATGGCCTTTTGTTTGAATCATGTCTCATAAACATTCTGTGGGTGCATTTTATTTTATCCAGGAGTGGTAGTATAGTAGTATGTTAAGAGAAAAACCTTTAGGACTACATATTCTTGGGTTTGGTTTGTTGCCCAGGCTTTTGATATCTGGCTGCTGGAATTCAGTTCTTGGGGGAAATTTGGCTTTGCTTTATTTAGACTTTTTAACCCCTTCCCATGTTTTATGCTCCACACCTCACCCCTGCTCTCCCAGATATGTGGTATATTCAGGTTCTGATTTCTATATGATTCTGTTCTTATGTTTTCAGTATCACCTGCCATAAGAACTGTGTGATGTTCTTCTTTAGTTAGTTTGCAGTATTCCACCTACTTTTTTTATCTCCTAAAACTGTATTTAAATATCTCTAAAGTGGTCATGAAACTGCTTAATTTGTAGGACTATTTGAGGTTATTTGTTAGTTAATAGACATAAAGAACTTTAAACAGTGCCTGTTCTTATTGTTAGGTATTGTCGAGTTAATTCTACCTCATAGCAACCCTATGTACAGCAGAAGGAAACACTTCCTGGTCTTGTACCATCCTCACAGTCATTGCTATACTAGAGTCCATTGTTGAAGCCACTATGTGAGTCTACCATTTTTACTGACCCTCCACTTTATCAGCCATGATATCCTTCTGCAGGAACTGGCCCCTCTGACAACATGACCAAAGTACGAGACACAAAGTTTAGTCGTTCTCGCCTCCAAGGAGCATTCCAGCTGTACTTCCCCTGAGACAAATTTGTTCATTCATTTCCCTAGCAGTCCATGGTACATTCAGTATTCTTTGCCAGCACCACAACTCAAATGCATCAATTTTTCTACAGTTTTCTTTATTCATTATCCAGCTCTCATATGCATATGAGGTGATTGAAAACACGATGGCTTGGGTCGGGCACACATTAGTCCTCAACATGACATCTTTGCTCTTTACCCAATGCAATACACTGATTTCTTGATTGCTGCTTCCATGGGCAATGATTGCAGATCCAAGGAAAATGAATCCTTGACACTTCAATCTTTTCTCCATTTATTATGATGTTGCTTAGGTCCAGTTGAAAGGATTTTTGTTTTCCTTATGTTGAGCTGTAATCCATACTGAAGGTTGTAGTCTCTGATCTTCATCAGTAAGTACTTCAAGTCTTCTTCACTTTCAGCAAGCAAGGTTATATCATCTGCATATCACAAGTTGTTAATGAGACTGACTGCCACAACATAAGTGCTTAGAAACCATTCTTCTTTTACCTTTGATGTTAAGTTGACTTTGAGTGCACTTCTTGAAAAAAAACCACATTCACTGCCATCAAGTCTATTCCAACTCATAGCGACCCCCTTTGGGTTTCCGAGGCTGTGAATCCTTATGGAAGTAAATTACCCCATCTTTATTCCATGAAATGGCTTGTGTTTTTGAACCACCAACTGTATAGTCTTAAGTGCTATTAATATAAAAAACCAAACACGCTGCTGTCAGGTAGAATCTGACTCATAGCGACCCCTCCTTGGGTTTCTGAGGAGAATCTCTATGGAAGTAGATTGCCTGATCTTCCTTCCAGGGAGTGGCTGGTGGGTTTGAACTGCCAACCTTCTGGTTAGCAGTCAAGTGCCCTAGGCACTATGCCTCCAGAGCTCCCTGTATACTATTTGCCACTATTAATTTTATAGTTCACATTTTTCTTCATTGTTTTTGTTGCTGTCATTTCTCATGTGATATGGGGGTAAAAACTTTTGAGCATCCTAATTCAGCATATTGTAAATAGTAAGTGAATTTAGTGGAATTCAAAAATTATTTCCCAGTAGTATTTTTTAAAATAATTAAACTATATGATAATTTAAAACATAAAATTTTTATATTTGAAAAATATGGCGTTCTTTCTTGTGCAAATACATTCACTTATTTATATTCTTTGTTTATAAAACAGATATAGGTTACTCTGGCACAAATTCTTGTATACCTTGATTTTTTTTTTATGTTAAAAAGAACATTAGTAATTATGTAAATGTGTCACATTGATGGTCAAAGAGAATGTTCATCAATGTGAAAATCTGAATATGGAGTAAACAGAACATACTGACATCAACTTGTTGATTTATGCTTTTTTTCTCCATTGTATAGGATTCTCACTCATTTCCTAATATGGAATTAATTTTTTTAACAGGAAAGAAAAGCTGTTGCAATGTTCTCAATGCCGAGTTGCCAAATACTGTAGTGCCAAGTGTCAGGTAAGATTGTACGGTTATATATTAATGATACCTTCAAATTCTCTAAAATTTGTCCTTCATTTTGCCTGGTAGCCTATCTAATTTCTGTTTCTTTAAAATATTTGATTTATTTTAACTTGTTATTTTTCCTTCAATTTAAAAATTAGCACATTGAGATAACAGAACCACTCAAACAAATCCTACTTTTGTTACCAATTTTATTATGCTAGTCCAAAGAGGCTGAGATCTTTCACTTCTGATGCCAAATGTGTGGTGGATAATAAATCCCACTCCACATACTAACTGCCATGTGGAAATCTCTGCTTCTTTTTCCTGGTCAGTCAGTCTAGGACCTAGCTGTTCTGTGTAGCCCTTCTCTCTCTCTCGTCTCCTGCCACCAATGGCTAGGTCAGTGGGTATTGTCCCTTTCTCTCTCTTTCTCTCTCTTTAAGGTCTGATAACCCTATGCTTTTGAAGGACTCACAGACCCCAAAGAAAAGGATATGTACAGGGTGAGGTCTGGGCAGGGTCTGGTGCAAAGATTCCATGTCCCCTGGGATATACTTCCCTCCTGAGAGCAGCTGTCCACTCTGATCACCCAGGAAGTTCCATTGAGGGGCTGTCTTCCAGGGCCTTTTATCTGCCTCACCACATGGCCATGATAGGTTATGCCTCCTGAGACTTAGATAGGGCCCCTAGGGGGTCCTTCTTGGTCTTGTTAGCTCTCATTCTTTGACCTCAGGTGTGATCTGGCTTTGAAGAATCAGGATCAAAGGCCAAATTATTTATCTAGGGAGTTCCATACCTTGCATAAATGTACATAATAAAATTATACACACACACACACACACACATCTAGAAAAAGCAAGTTTCCTTTCTCTCTTCTAGTCCTCTGACTTAAATCCCATTTCCCAGAGAAAATCACTATTAAGTTTCTTGAGTGTCTTTGCACCATTTTCTTGTGCAAATACATTTGCATATTTATATTCTTTATTGTTTATAAAACATATATAGTCTATTCTGGCACACATTCTTATATACCTTGATTTTCTTTTTTGTTTAATAGTATCTAGAGAAACTTTCTGTATCTTCCCATATATTACATTAAATGAATGCTTCATAATTGTAACTTCTCCATTCCTGAATGCTAACATTGTTTACAAGTTTTGATAATCCCAGTAATGAACCAAGCATCCTTTTGTGCACATTTTTATACACATCTTCAAATTAATCAAGGAACTCCGGTGGCATATTAGTTAAGGTATTCACTGGCTAATCAGAAGGTTGGTGATTGAGCCCACCAGCTGCTTTGCAGGAGAAAGATGAAGCAGTCTGCTTCCATAGAGATTTACCACTTTGGAAACTCTATGGGGCAGTTCTACTCTGTCCAGTAGGGTCACTATGAGTCAGAATTGACTTGATGGTAGTGTTTTTTTTTTTTTTTTTTTTCCTGGGCAAATTAATTGTAAGGTAAATTCTTCCAAATGGTATGAATTAATGAAAGGATATATACATTTTCATTTGTTAAAGATAATGCCAAATTACCTTCCAAGAGTTTGAGTTAGTTTACACCTACCAAAATCTATGAGAGTAACTTCCTTAACATCTTTGAAATTCTTTAAAGGAGGTATAATTAACATTCAACATGACCTTTTCTTCTAACCTTTGAGTAATCATTTAATAAGAAATGTAATTATGTTCTAATGAATTGCTTCATATTAAAAAATTTAATTGGAGGCTTTGTGTCTGTGCCACTTGCCTCTTACCCTCCACCCATCCTTTTTGTTTCTTATTTTGGTGTATGTGGGCACTCACGCTTTGGCATGTGTGTGCAAAGTTCCTCTTTCTTTTAAACCTAAGCCAGGCTTATCTCAGGGATTTTCTACCACTTCACTTTGTCTTTTCAAAGTAACCTTCAGACTGCAGATAGAGTGATCTTGAAGGAAAAGAAACCAAAATGTTAAAAATTGTCAGGAGTCCCAGTTTCTAGCATTAATTCTGCTCTTAACTGGTTATATTGTCCTGTGAAAATCACTTAAACTCTTGAGGCCTCAGTTTCCTTATCTGTGCTAATAATCATGATGAGTGGAGAAAAGTGTGAAGTTCTCAAAGATTTCATATTAGATCCACAATCAACACTCATGGAAACAGCAGTCAAGAAATCATATGTTGTATTGCACTGGGTAAATCTGCTGCAAATGAGCTCTTTAAAGTGTTAAAGAGCAAAGATGTCACTTTGAAGGCTAAGGTGTACCTAACACAAGCCATGATATTTTCAGTCAGCTCATATGCATGTGCAAGCTGGACAATGAACAAGGAAAAAGAGTTGATGCTTTTGAGTTGTGGTGTTGGCAAAGAATACTGAAAGTACCATGGACTGCCAGAAGAATGAACAAATCTGTTCTGGAAGAAGTGCAGCCAGGATGCTCCCTGGAAGCAAGAATGGCCAGACTTCCTCTCACCTACTTTGGTCATGTTGTCAGAAGGGACCGTTCCTTGGAGAAGGATATCATTGTGGTAAAGTGGAAGGTCAGCAAAAAAAAAAAAAAGGGAAGACCGTCAACAAGATGAATTGACACAGTGGCTGTAATGATAGGCTCAGGTATAGCAAGGATTGTGAGGATGGCACATGACCAGGCAGTGTTTCCTTCTGTCGTACATAGGGTCGCTATGAGTTGGAGCCAATTTGACAGCACCTAACAACAACGTAGTGCCTAAGGCACCTGACTGCTGACCAGAAGGCTGGAGGTTCAAACCTATCAGCCACTCCTCAGAAGGAAGGTTGGGCAATCTACTTCTTCTGTAGTGATACCACCTTGGAAACCCAAGGAGGGGTTGCTGTGAGTTGAGTCTGACTTGACTGCACATAACAACAACAACAACAACAGTATTCATTAAGTATCTGTAGGGTACTATTTTATTCCATTTTATCTTTAAAACAATCCTGTGATGATTATGTACCATTGTTGTACTCATTTTCCTAATAAAGAGTATAGGGAGGAACCTGCTGAAGTTCCTTTCTGCTGTGAAGCACTGGAGTTTCAGAAATGAACCAGGTTAGTCAGACTCTAAGGAGCATACGTGGCACTAACCTCTAAAGGATGGCAGTTCAAATTTACCCAGCTGCTATGCAGAAAGCCTGGTGAACTGCTTCTGTACAGATTACAGTGAAGATGACCCTATGGAGCAGTTCTACTCTTTAACATGTAGTGTTGCCATGAGTTGGGGGCTGACTTAATGTCAGCTAATAACAACGAGTCAGACTCTAGACTTTTAACTTCTAACCCTGAATTTTCCTCTTGTTCTAACATCCTGATTAGATCTATTTTTTCATTGTTTATTGTCTTCTTCTTTTTTTTTTTTTCAAATGAGCATGGAGTCTATCCTCAATAAACAAACAGCAAAGAATAAAAAATATTAAGTAACTTCCCTAAGGAAAAAAAAAAAAAAAAAAGCCCAACCCACTGTCGTAGAGTTGATTCTAACTCCTAACATCTCTATAGGACAGAGTAGAACTGTCCCATAGGGTTTCCGAAGCTTTAAATCTTTACGGAAGCAGACAGTAGTACCATCTTTCTCCTGTGGAACAGCTGGTGGATTCAAACCAACGACATTTTGGTTAGCAGCTGAATGCTTTAGCCACTGCATCACCAGAGTTCCTTAAGAAAAATAAGGAATATTTAAATAACCGAATTATTTTTTATTACATTTTACAAACTAAAATAATGTCAGATTTAGAAAGATTCCAGATTTGTGTAAGAATATTAACAGCAAAAATAACAAAAAGGAAAAACTAAACAAACTCATGCTTTTCCTACAGGATGAATTTCTGAAAGTTTGTGGTGATGTTTTAGTGATTTTGTTAATGTGAAATTAAGTTACATGACTCAGTGAACTTGAAGTTAAGAAGATTACATGTGGAACCCAAGAATTTTAGAAGATTGTGATGAACTTCTTTTCTAATTTTAATGACCTAAACATTTACTTTGAGAGCTCTGGTGGCATAGTGCCTAGGGCATTTGACTGCTAACCAGAAGGCTGGCGGTTCAAACCCACCAGGTACCCCTCAGAAGGAAGGTTGGGCAATCTATTTCCATAGTGATACCACCTTGAATATTTACTTTTAGTTTCCCTGTTTTTATGAATTATCTTTGCCACCTAAAACTACTTCTTCCTTTTGGATACACTAAAAGGTAAAGGAAAAAAAAAAAAAAAAGCCATTATCTGATTAGAATGAGTAAAGCATTTGGCGGATGAGTACGTCATTTTGATTCATTATAGTGTGTGTATGTTTAGTACATATGTTAGCTGTTTACTGGAACATCAATAACAATGTCATCTTTAGACATTCTATGGAAGGTAATGGGAAAATAGCTAGTAAGATTAAAAGTATCATATATAACACCAGCTAGTGTTTGTGTGCATGTGTGTGGTATGTGTAGAGGTGAGCTGGGAGTCAAAGATTGGCCAGAACATATGCATTTAAACAGCTCTGTTTAGCTCAACCTTAAGGTAATACATTAAGCATTGTAATTATTGTGAGTTCCTACAAAGTAGCACAAAATTAAACTGACAAACTGAACTATGAACAGGAAGGAAAAGGACTCGGAATGGAAATTGATACAAAGGATATGAATCTGTAGCATAAAATTTATAATATGTGTCTCCAGAGGGATATAATTTTGACTCACTAGCTTAGCATTTGATATGTGAGGGTATCACATCAATTGAGTTTTGTGAGAGAGGTTGTTGGATATTACAAAGTATAATGTGTCCCTTGTGCCAGTAAGGACTTTGTCAGTGCCATTGGTTTTCGTGGTTTATTTTATTTATTTATTTTAACTTTGTAGTGTGATTTGGATGAAAGTTTACAGAGCAAATTGGTTTTCCACTCATACACATTTTGATTCTCAACATTCATTGCAATCCCTACAATGTAACAATGCTCTTCCCAGTTTCTCTCTGTGTTTACCATTTCCATTTGTCTTTCTTTCCTGTCCTTTCCTACCTGGTGAGCTTTG